TGTACGACCGGACGAGAAGATAAACTCGTCATCGCTTCTGGATGAAGCTGTCTTGGAGGACACCAAGAAACCGAACGCACGAGGTAAATTGTCGCCCCTTCGGAATCCCTTGGATCCGTACTATCTTTTGGTAAAAGAATTTCAAGACGTCGTCTCCAAAGACCCACCTTTGGTCCTATCTCCGGACGTATGATATTAACATGATTCCGGGAACCAAATACTGCGTAATACGCCAATAACCCCTGCCCAAGGAGCAGTGCGACCTCATTGACGCCTTTTTCCGTGCGAAGCACGAAGCACGGATGGTATGTGAGAACGAGTCTCCCCATTCGACACCCACGTTTCGTTTTCGGAAGCCGAACGGCAAGTGGCGTATCGTTCCTCAAAGCTGCCACCATTCCGTTACAAACGCCAATTCCTAGAAAGGATGTTCTTCAGAACAACAGTGGGATGTACGAAGTACAGTGCCCTCGACCTGGTCGATGGGTATTACCAATTGCGCACGAATGCGAGTGATATTCCGCTAACAGCGGTGATCACTCCGAGCGGCATGCTCTGGGAGTGGCTGGCGATGCCCCAATCGCTGTCAAACGCATCAGCAACATTTAATCGTCTTGTGACGCAGCTGTTCAGGCCCCACAGAGGTATGCACATACATACTTTGACGACATTTTTGTACATAGTCGTGCGGAGCATGGGAGGACAGATGAGGAGAACCACATCGTCTATTTAAGAGCGCTGCTCGAATGCATGCGCATGAACAAACTGTACGCCAATGCAGACAAGTGCATCTTTGACACAGAAAAGATTCCCTTTTGAGGCGCTTCATTGGGAAGCGTGACCTTCGAGCGAAACTTACCGAGGTCAAGGCCATTGTAGACCGGCCGGTTCCAAAGAACCAAAAGGACTTGCGTAAGTGGCTTGGACTCGCCAATTACTTGCACAAGTAGGGCATAAATTACGCAAAAATGGTCAGGCCATTATCCAATCTGCTTAAAAAGGATGCGGAATGGTGTTGAAATACCGAGCATCAAGGGGCTTTTGACGGGGTCAAAGACAGCCTCTTGCATGCAGCAATACTGGCGCAGCCACACCCTGATCGTCCTTTCAGCATTGTCTGTGACGCTTCGGACTTTGCCATCGGCTGTGCACTGCTGCAAGCAGACGCTGAGGGGCGAGATCGGGTGATCGCATTCGAATCTCGACAGCTCAAAGCTGCAGAGAAAAACAACCCAATACATGACAAGGAGCTACTTGCGATGAAGTATGCACTTGTCAAGTCAGGGTCCGCCTGCTCGGCTCCAAGCCGTTTGTGATCTATACAGATCATGCGTCACCACGCACTGCGACTCAGTCGCCCCACCTCTCGCAGTGGAAGGCTAGATGGCTATCCTTCTTTGCGGAATATAACTTAGAGGTGAAGTATAAGCCGGGAAAGAAGAATACTTTGGCTGATGCGTTGTCACACAGACCAGACTTTGAGCTGACTCATGTTACAACTGTAACGTCGTCTGTGACGGATCTGATCCGCACCGCGTGTGCGGGTGATGTGATGTGTGTAGCGTTACTACGGTCTCTCGGGAGCAAGGAGTTTGGAAACTCGGACAAGAGATTGTCATCAAGATTGCGTGCACGATTGCACCGACATTCGTTGAATAACGGTTTGCTATATTATAGCACCATTTCAACGAATACATCACGAATTGTGGCTCCTCATGATGAGTATTTGAAATAGCGCATCCTCTTTGAGTCTTACGACACGCCACTCAGTGGGCCTCTCGGTTGTGAGAAAATGTACAATTCTGTGAGTCACCACTATTGGTGGCCCAAGCTGTACAAATGGACGAGCACCTATGTGCGTACATGAGAGACATGTCAACGGGTGATACCGCTCCGAATGCGACCAGCTTACTGGTACTCACTGGGTGCTGGCAGTCCATGAGTTTGGACTTTGTGTTTGGCCTGCCGAAAGATTCGGCGGGCAACAAGGGTGTCGTAGTATTCGTCGACCGGTTGAGCAAGATGGCTCAACTGGCAGCGGTGCCAGACACCATTGACGGAGTCGGTACAGCAACGCTGTTCGTGGATCGTGTTTTCCGACAACTCGGACTCCCAGAGTCGATTGTCTCTGATAGAGACCCCCGTTTCACAAGAAAAGTTCTGTCGACTATCTTCAAGGTGCTAGGCTTCAAGTTTGATATGTCGACAGCGGAA